TACTACAGGTTCTAAAACAGTGAAAAATTCCACAAAGAAAAGCAGGTATAGTAGCAAATATCTTGCATATCATACATCGGTTTGACACATGAAAATCTTTCAGCGATTTCTTGCTGTTTCTATACCTACCCACTATCATGAAAGAATGTTACTTAGCGTCATCTATTCGTTTTCTAAAAATGGCCATCATAATATTTATCATACATTAATACTCATATTACGCTGATTCTAAATGTATATAAATCTTAATATTTGGTTCATTTCTAAAAAAAATATTTACACAGTGCATTTAGAAATAACCAGTGAAAAATAAGCGCATTCGTTTCATCAGTCAGTGGATCATTAATATCATATGAGTAATCATTTAGTAATGATGAAGTAATTCTAAACACGAGCAAAGGTGTACATGTGCAAGTTTTTCTATCTGAATATACTATAAAAAAATATAAAACAGACTTCACTTCATCGTTTTGATTTAAGGATAAAACATGACCACTATTACATTTGCTGTAGCTACTATCAATATATGTACTACAAGACATACTGAAACTCAACAACTATCGGAAGCTGATTTGGCTCGATGGGCATTAAAAGATGAAAAATTATCACTCGAAAATTTTCAAATCAATTACCCTTTAGTTGCTGAACTTAATTGTCATAATTATCGAATTAAAAATGCTTTTGTCGGTGCTATTTATACAGCTTATTGTGATCATTATCCACTTGAATTAAGTGTCGAAGACATTTGGGTTGCTATTGCACAAGGTGTTGGAATTCATCTCAATCAAAATGCTGAAAAATATCGACATTTAATGGTGTCACATGAAGGACAAAAAGAATTAATATTGAACGTTAACAGTCTTCGAATACCAGATTCTGATCGACCAAAATATGGTAATAAATCTGTACCTGCTATTGATTGGTCAAGAACTGTTCGATTGATCTGTGGATTGATTAAAGATGATATAAAAACAGATATGGCTACACTTTTGACAACTCCTTTTTCGAGTACAACACCAGTTGAACAAGCTGTTTTTGATTGTACATTGATGGATACTGTCAAAGCTTATTACAAATACCGATGCTGTTTAGAATGTGGTATTCCTGAAGTAACATTACGTGGTTC